CACGTCACAGGGACTGGAGCCCAGTACAGGCTCACGTCACAGGGACTGGAGCCCAGTACAGGCACACGTCACAGGGACTGGAGCCCAGTACAGGCGCACGTCACAGGGACTGGAGCCCAGTACAGGCACACGTCACAGGGACTAAATGAAAAAACTGAAAGGCACCCCAGTTGCAGAGCGATGACCTTAGGTCTGCTCCCTCACAGCTCTGAGGGCCTGGAGTGTCTGTGTGGAGTCTGCATGGTCTCTCCATGGTCTCAGGGTGCTTTGACCCAGAGGCACCCAGGATAATCTGTCTCTAAATGGCATGTGTGTGCACCATGCAATGGTCTTACATCCTGTCTATATCTGTGGCCCCCAGATCAAAAATAAAACCAAGAAATCTGCCTCACAGCATCTTGAGATCACTGGAAACTTTCTCATAAGAGTCTTTCTCACATATTCGGACTTCCTCCCACAGACTCGCTCTGCTTCAATCTGTGCTTTAGAAGTACAAACCGCGCAACACAGGAAGAACTGCCAAACGTACAAAAGAAAGGTATAAAAAAAAAAAAACCCTGCCTCAAGCACAGCCGAGCAGAAGAAGTGCATCAAGCTGCATCGTCTCACAGTCCAGAGCTCAACAGACTGCGGAGCGACTCCTGCAGTTTCCCTGCTCCTGCAATCAAAGGTATTTCATTTCATCTCAACTTCATTGTCCTGCTGCTGTCCTTGGTGCCTCCTGTCCTGTTGTGAGCAAAGGGATTGTCTCTCACCTCTGCGGACGAGAGTGTTTTCATTCGTGTTCCCCAAAGTCTTGCTCAAATCTAGGTTTTTTGTGCCGGCTTGTGATCTGCTGCCTGCCTGCTATAAGATCCCTGATGCATCATGGGGAGTGATAAGTTGGCACACTTGGCATGAAAAGCAGGAGAAAGAGTCTATTGCTGGAGCTGTGAGGCACAATATGCTTTTCCTTCAGTCTGAATGTTTGACAGAACAGAGTTTATTCTACAACCTCCAGTATCTGGGTGCAAAAGTGTCTTCTTCTCCAGCAAAACCTGTCAGAGTCAGGAGACTCAACAATCGTGTCTCTTCAGTCTCATCAGAAAACTTTAGTCATTTTCTCCACAACGTGTGTTTTCAGAGGTTATATTGAGCTGGTTAATGATCGTATCTCTTGTTCACAATCTCTGCTTCAGTCTCTGAGCAACAGTGCAGATTTGTGACACTGTGGTCTAAATTCAACACAAGATCAGGAGTATCAAACCTTTTCCTTCCGCAGAAAAACAATACAGATACAGATAAAAATTCAGAGGGCAAAAGCTGACATGACCACACCTGGGGACTGTTTTAAAAATTGTGGTCCACTGTGTGGAAGAAAAACAATGAGATTTACTGAATATGATTATTAGCTTGTATTAGAGCACAAGTACAGTGGTTAAGGACATTGAACTTGTCAAGCAGTGTGTGTGTAAAATGCACAATGTTTTCAGACCTCTCC